CCCCAAAACCCCAAAACCCCTTGAAATAGAATTTACTTGAAATTTATAAAATTTAATCTAGGAGAAATTATTTAAAACATCAAGCACTTCCGTTTTTTCTTTCTAATTAAAGATTCAGTTCTATTTTGAACTCTTTGAGGTTCAAATTTCTAATCTTTTATAATAGTATAGTGCTCTCCAAACAATTAGATGAGTTTATATTGATAAACCTCTTTCCCGTTTACCCCTGCATAGTAAATTTTATCTCGATGAATTGTGTGGTGGAACGATTATGGCTATACCCAATTATTATTGATCGACTCTTTTGCATCCCTCAATGCATAATAATCATTATAATGAACAACACTAAGTTCAAAATCATGTCCATATTGTTGAACCCTTCCAAATATAATAAGCTCATTGGCATATTAATCCTGCTACAGGACACACAACAGGAATTTTCTCGGAACTCTTACAGAAATTTGTATCCATTTTGCTTTTGGCACATGAATCAATGGCTTATCTACATCATTTTCTTAGTCCTCGATATTCAGTCTATAAATCTGTAACCCACCATGAACTTGCTGATTGAAAAACACGTATATAAACTTCTAATCTATGTTTATTCCTTAACCACCTACAATCATATAAGGATAAGGATGAGGTGCTATGTAAGACCATTTATTACCAAGCACGTCTAACCTCTCACAAGAGCCATTAGCATTACCACCTATAGCATAAATGAAGCTATTTAAGACCTTGACAAAGATTGTTTAATTTCTTTTCTCCTTCATAGGATAAAGCAACTTCAAATGCCAGTCATCTAAAATGTTATATATATAGCATTTTTTTAGGTCTTCTTTAGGATCTCTTGGGAATATTACAAGTCTCTCTAAATCAAAGTCTACAATGTTTTAGGGTAGTACCTCGTCAAAAGGTAGATAAAACTCATCTGAAAATTTGTGATTAGTAGCTAAGACTCCTGGATAGAAAAATACAAGTTTGTTATTATTTCTAACCATAATTAATCTCTTGATTTAAGTGATTTTACAAAATCTTATTAGAGCTGGTACAATCTTAAGGTATGCTCTTTTATTCAGACTCTGAAACTATTTGAGATTTTAATCATAAAAGAATCCCATTATCTCAAATATTACTTGACTTTAGTATACTCTTTTGCCTGACATCTATGATTTTATTAATTAATATTATAAATCTCTAATTTTCGTTTATTATTGAATATGGGGTTTTGGGGTTTTGGGGTTTTGGGG